ACATCTGATGCCGAGTCACAGCAGCTGGAAGCTGAAAGCTCGAGCCCTGCTCTACTCCATATGTACGGTTACATGTATTGAGCCAAGCAAGACACGGAGAAACTCACCCAGTATGTTGATGAACCCCGCCTTCCTATAAAGTTCTCTCGCGGGTTGGTTTGTGCGGAGAACCAGTAGGTAGACTACACCCCAGTTCGGGTACGCCTTGGGAAACTGAGAGACAACAAGCATTGAAGGCTACTCTCAATGGCCATTTTTCGTGGGAATAGAGACTGCACAGTTCAACAGGAGAGTCCATCGCTGGTATCACCTCCTTGAAGGTTACAGACAAAAGTGTCGATGCAATTTTCTGCCTTCGCCAAGCTTCGACGACATAAACCTGAAAGTCCAGTTTGCAACTACCGTTCGAAAAAACAACCGAGTGGCGGCATTCGGCTTACAATATTTATGAGTCCAATCTTCCCAGACTTGCTCCCTTCCGGCCTATGAAGACAACGTTTGACTCAAACGGTTTGAGGATACCTCCATCGTCAATGTAGGACTCACCTGTGGGCTTTGATGGCAGTCTTGATCTTCTCAGGTGTGTTTTCTTCAGGGATGTCCATAGCGACCACGCCGACGACAGTCTGGGGAGGGAATTATTTCCGGCATAGTCATCGTAAACTACTGGATGCAGCCTACGATCCTCAATTCATTTTTAACCCACACTAGCGAATCGATAGTGTGCGAGACGGTCTCGCCGAGACCGGCCGTTGTCTTCAAACCGGAAGTGCATTGCACTCCATTCAATCATTAAATTTCAATGCACGAGACGCTCGATGCAGGATTCCGTATGTCGATTCGATGTTTTCTCAATACAACTATACATACTCCTGACAGAGTAAAGCATTTTATGATAATCGCACCTTAGTTCCACTGGGCACTGCGACATAACATAGAAAAAGGTCACAAGCTGGAGGAATGTATTCTTCTGCCACGACGGATGGTCATCACCCTCCTGGTATTTCCGATAAACCACTCCATTA